AATTAACTACTGGAATTTTTTTCCATGGTCTAAATGGGCCTGGATTACCTTGCCCTTTTTAAAAAAAGGTTACACTAACCTCTGAGATAAAACCTATTTTATCTCCCAAGTAAAGATGAAGAATATTTGGAAAAAGGGTCGCGTTCATGCTGCAGACAGACTAACTTCAGTCTGCAAACCAATTTCACTAAAAGCACTATACATTGCATGATCCATTAATGAACTACTGGATGCAGTCACTTCTCACTATGATGTAATATGGTAATCTTCTATAGAATAGATCACTACGAAAGAGGTAGTTGTAAATACTTCAGGAAATGTATAATCTTCTGGTTCGAACTGCGTGAAGTTTTTTGTTTAGAAATACATAGGTAAGCTTGTCTTAGCTGAATTTGATAAATTATTATATACCATCATCAGCTTTTTTGTTGTTGTTGTTGTTTGGGTTTTTATGTTTGTTTTGTTTTTCCTCCCTGTCTTTAAACTATCAGCAAATCCAAAGTCCAGGAACAGCAGACATTCCCCACCTTTTCCAAATGTGTACTGAATAGATGGTGAAATTAATGGCAACAATATGCCATATGTGAAAGCCTAAAGGAGTATGTGGGTATTTCCAGATTTCCTGTTCTTCCAATGGATTTTTAATATATATTCACCACAGAGGTTCAGTTTTCCATTTTTGTGGGAAATTTTTTTCTAGACTATCCAGCTGCAAAGATGAATTTGTAAATATGGACCATCACTGTTGATCTTTATCAAACAGACAGAAAAAAAAAAAAAAGTGGTAAGTATGAATTGCTCCTTTTTGCCAGTAATTTTTGAAGCCTGTGACCACATAAATACCGATATTGTTACAAATAATTTAATCAACACATCCAGTTACCTTCTGTGTGAATAGACGCGGTTTTCAATGAAATCATAGTCCACACAGATGAAGGTGCAGGCTGTGTATAAAAATAGCCCCTCAGACAGTTATTAGGTATGTGATTATTCCTGGTTAATCTTTAACACTTGTCCTGCTTGCATGTCTTCAGCATATCCTGCTTAAACTTTTTTTTCTGTATAGCTCCTAAAGGGACCCCATTTTCTTCTTAGATTTATATACCCCTCATCAACATTTCCTAATGACATTACCTTTGCCATCTTCGGAGTTACTAAGGTTGTCATTTTGTGATGATAAATAAGAAGACCTATTCCTACCCATCCAGGTAATCTAACAAAACAGACTAACCATCAACTCTTACCCTGTGACTGCACATTATCTGACTCTGCAGGGACTCAAGCTTATTGAAAAAAGAACAGATCATGCTCAATAAATTCTTCTAACCATTTTGAAAACACAATGTCGAGCACTATGTTACCTTTATTGGTTTATTACTTTTTACCATCTGGCCATGGTGCTTTGGATAACCACAAGATTTGTACAACTTGCACTCTGTGGACTTTTACCAAAATGGGGTAGTACTACCAGTGCTGTTTGAAGATCCAACACAATGTGGAAGATACCAAAATGGAAGGCAGTGTGTTTGAATATGGGAAAAAAACCCAACAGACTCAGAAGAAAGACTAATGTACAGAATGGTGGGTTAAATAAATAAGAAAATTGTTTCTTGCCTCTGCACAAAAAAAGGAGGTACTTAATACAAGTCTTCTAGTGTAATGATGGAAATTTGTCTACCCTGGTTTTTATTTTCAGCTATCCTCTCTAACTGGAATTTCCACCTATAGCTAATCTTGGCACTGGTGGCTGAAGGCGGATCAGAGTCTTACTGAGCTGCACAGAGTGGTCATCTGCCTTGATTACCTTTTCTGCTGTGATTCCTACTTATTTGCATCCCATGAAAAATAGTTTGTTTCAAACTTCCGCAATACTTATGAAATATTACAGAAAAACTAAATTTATTGCTGGCATTAGCATTCACTGGGATACAGATATTTGATTTTCTATTATGGATATTTTCATGCTTGAAGCATTTTTGATGTAGCATATCTCAGTAGAAGCTAGCAATTCATTAACCAAGTGTCTGGGGACAAAAGGTTGGTTACATGAGAACCAAGTTAAGATGTCAACCTGTTGCTTAAAGCTTCACACCAGGGGCTCAGAACAGCAGCTCTAGCAATTTTTAAGGACGTAAAGAGTTCTGAAACAACAAAGAACTGAGTTGAATGTGTCTCTGCTGGGCAGGCTACATGCAGTATAGCAAAGACTAGAACCAGACTAGACGAAGCAGCATCAAAGATTTTTTTTTCCACATGCAGAACATCTTACAAATCTATTCAGATGTTTGGCAGGTGCCACGAAGCACAAAGACCTGGATGTTGTAGTTTGCTCGGATTTTGTTATCAACTTGGGTTTCCAAAAAGATGCAGGCAATATCTTTGATTTCAAAGAGCTGCCAAGGGAGAAGAATGAAGGCCACACCACATCGTTCAAACAGGTTGAAAGCCAGAGGAAAACGGTCAGGATTAAATTGTGTTTGGTTTGGCTGAGACGAAGTTAATTTTCCCCATACAGTGCCCGTGGGTAGCTGGAAAGGTGCTGCAACCACAGCGGTGTTGTGGTACAACACTTGCACAGCATCCAGCCCGTCTCTCCAACATTCCCGCCTGGGAAGACGCTGTCAGGTCTGGACATTCCACAGCACATGACGCCTGCTCAGCAGCAGCAGCAGCAGCGAGGAGAAAGGGGGGAAGACCCGGCAGGAAGCACCGCTGCCCGGGAAGTGGCCGGACATCGCCTGCCG